TGATATTATTATTGTAGAAAAGAATGGAGAGTGAGATAAAAGCGAGAGAGAGAGAGAGAGAGAGAGAAGAGCTACCAAAGCCATTCTTTAACACTAATCGTATTATATATTTTTGCTCAAGTGGTGAACAGAGAATCCTTACGTGACACCTGAACACACACACACACCCTACAGAAGGCCAATACAATGACTAGTGACCCTTACTTAAAATAACAGCCTTGTCCAGTACACCGACAAAAAAAAGAAAAGATCAGCAGCTGATTCTTCTGACATGTAATAAAATGCCATATAGCCTGTGTCCGAGCCTAACCTAACCTAACTAACTATAACCTAACCCTGAAACCAAACCAAACTAACCTAACCTAGCTAACCTAACCAGAAGCCTAGCACCTAACCAAACACAACCTAAACTTCTAATTGAAATGGAAATGTATAGTACTCAAAAAAACTATCTGTACTTGGGTGATCGATGAATTTCAGAATGAACACTACGACTCCTGTTGTGCTATGGATTGTCAAAATTCTTCGGCTGTTATGTCATATTTTTCAACACTATTGGTATAGATATTGTTTTTGTGTCTGTACTTGTGGAAAGCATTATATAGAGGAGTGGCGCGACAAGGAGTGATATGTGGTGTGACGATAATTATTGAAGAAAATTATATACATTCTGACTGCGAGAGGCACTGATCTGATTCCAAATGTTATCGTTCATTTTTCTTAACGTTTAGTCATCCCGCTAACTTTGGAGACTGGGTGATGCATACCTCTGTGTTCTGTTGGTTTTACACTATGTTGCTGCCCTTGTCCTTCCCTCTGGTGCAAGATGGTGGAGAGAGATAACGGGAGACAGACAAAGAGGCGCGAGGAAGAAGAAGATGGTGAAAGAGAATGAGCGATAGACACTGAAGAGAGATAAAAGAGAGAGACAGACAAGAAAAGAGAAATGGACAAGAGAGAGAGGGCAGAGAGACCAAAAAAGGGAGCAGAGAGGTAAGATAAAACCAAAGAGAGAGGGCCAAGAGGTAGATGGTCGAGAAAGAAGAGACTCAAAACTAGATCAACCATTAACCTTTATCCATAATACGAGATCTTAACAGGATCCGCACCCACCCACCACCTATTGCTGGGTAGTCACTTCCCTTGACCTCACTCATCAAGGTCAACACAGGTAAACTAATTCCTTCTGCTCTATTTACCTCAGCCTCAACGACTTTAAGGTTTTTTGCACACTTAAGGGGAAGAAATGGTATTTACCTCATGAGGTCTCTTGTGAGGTTAATTGCACTTAAGCACTAATTTTGGGAGGAGGGGCTTCATGTTAGTGTCTTTGATATTGTTTTTCTCCTCTAATTCACTCTCAGTATAAACCCCGAACAAGTTATATGAAGATAGAATGATATAGTCAAATCCATATGTATTACTAAATGATTATACACAAATATATTCACCTTTGTAAACTATCCTCATTTGGTCTTCATTGTACATATACTGTATTCTCATTGCCTATTCCTCTGACCTCCCACACACACACACTCAGCTCCTACAGATGCAGGCCTGATTCTTCATGGAACCTGCCTTACAGTCATCTAAGGAGACGACAGCCCAAACAGTGGACCGGCTTTCATCCCGGCCGGAGAGGGCCGACGGCAGATGAACAGAAAATCGTCTGGAATATGTTGAAAATGATGATGTTGCAGAGAAGAAATGCAGATGAAGCAGAAAAATTCATCTGGAATATGACGGAAAACGAAGATGTATAAAGAAACTCAGATGGAGCAGAAAAATTCATCTGGAATATGAAAATGAAGATGTATAGAGGAAGAACGCAGATGGGACAGAAAACTCGTCTGGAAGAGTATAGAAACCAGGAGGAAGTGAGAAGAAGTCAGAAGGTGTGGAGAAACGACCTACAAGGTGCGGTATGTGAAGAAAGGAGACAGAAGACAGAAGATGTGCTATGTGAAGAAAGAAGACAGAAGATGTGCTGTCCTGACATCACAAGAAAGTCGATGATGAAGGACCAACCGACTACAGCTGCTGAGCTGCCGCCATCCCCTATTTTTCAGATACCAGCTGGATGGAAGACGTGAGCTATGCCGGACCCAACTAATGTACTGATGTTGTTGATGTATAATAAAAAGATATCAATACCCTAATATGTGAAGTAGGAACATTTTTTGTGTAGTTTGAAGTATTTTCTCTGATTTTGTTGATGTTTACTACAAAGAATGTTTTTTTTTAGTCTCACTTTTTTCTGAGTTCATTTGATCAATGTCTTGGACTATGAAACACGATGTTGTAGCTATATTACTGACTGAGATGAATTATTATTTTGACATGGGCTGATAAGGAAATGTAACACCTGTTATTGTTTGTAGAATGTGATTTGCAAGGTTGCCTCGGACACTATGCTACAGATGAAGGATTTTTTCATTCTATGTTCACTTGCTATGTTTCCTTTTTCTCCTGGCATAGAAGCTTTGATCTTGGCGGGAGGTATAGTGAGCTTTGTCAGATCAAACTAGCGCCAGTAGAAAAACACACCTATGAGATTGTTGTTTGTGAATGTGAGACTATGTTAGCGCCCCAGGGATTATCTTTGATACCACACGTGATGTTGCTGTCTATATGTGACATCAGTCTCTGTGATGAAGCTTTGGTCTTGGCGGGAGGTGTAATGAGTGATTGTCAGACCAAACCTTACAGCCCAGAATTATGTCACATATAACAGCAAGTACACCACAGACCTCGTGGTACCACCGCATTCCAGGTTGACACACCTCAGGTCGACCCTAGGGACTTGACCTGGCCCGCTAATGACGTGAGCCGGTGACCTACAACCGCACCTAGCCAAGACACCTGGCCAGGACCACACCTGCACACAATTATCCAGATCAAACCAGTTTAGTGTTAATTGTTAGAGGTCAGAAGCCGGCTGGGCCGACCCCATATAAAGGCCCTACAGTCCCGTCCACGGGCATTCCTATTCCATTATCATTATCATTCTGGTTGCTGTCATCTCTCTCCCGTTCGGGTCGTCACTCGGTTCACTAACAGAGTCACGCACGTCCCCTCCCCAGGTCGGGAGGGAGACCTCCCGACCAGACCACGGCATCGCCAGCTAAGCAGACTCTCCCTGTGATGAAGGCAGCCCAGCCAGCACTCACTGGGCCTACGTCAGGGTACACGTGAGTCTTGTCAGAACGTCCTAGGGTGAGTTACCTACTGTGGGAAGTGTATTCATTCAGGTGTGTCCGAGAGTCAGTGTCAAGTAACGTAAAGCATAATGTGTTAGTACCCCGATATAATAGTGATATTAATGTGTCCATGTCATTGAGTGAAGTAATAAATAGTTGTATCAAGAGGTGTTTAACAAGTTGTCCCTTTAAGAAGTGATAGTGATATATGTGTATTGACATACGAGATAAGATAAGCGTAGTGACGCTGTGCAAATAACATCCAGGCCACGCTACCAAGTTTCCTACCTTTACATTCCTATACTCTATACTTCCTATAGTATGTAATTCTCTCATTGTGTTTTCCCTCATTACAGGAGCCAGCGTGGACTGGTGGTGGGCAGGACTCCATGGCAGGGAGCCAACGTGTGGCTGGTGGTGGGCAAGACTCCATGGCAGGGGAGCCAGCGTGGACTGTTGTGGGCAGGACTCAGGGCAGGGGGAGCCAGCATGGACTGGTGGTGGGCAAACTCCAGGGCAGGGAGCCAGCGTGGACTGGTGAGTGGGCAGACTCGGGCGGGAGCCAGCGTGGACTGGTAGTGGGGCAGGACTCCAGGGCAGGGAGCCAGCATGGACTGGTGGTGGGGCAAAACTCCAGGGCAGGGAGCCAGCATGGACTGGTGGTGGGCAGGACTCCATGGAAGGGCAGCGTGGACTGGTGGTGGGCAAGACTTCATGGCAGGGAGCCAGGCGTGGTCTGGCAGTGGGCAGAACTCCATGGCGGGAGCCAACGTGGTCTGGTGGTGGGCAAGACTCCATGGCAGGGGAGCCAACGTGGTCTGGTAGTGGGCAAGACTCCATGGCAGGGGCTGGCGTGGTCTGGTGGTGGACAAGACTCCATGGCGGGGAGCCAGCGTGGTCTGGTGGTGGGCAAGACTCCTGGCAGGGAGCCAGCGTGGTCTGGTGGTGGACAAGACTCCATGGCGGGAGCCAGCGTGGTCTGGTGGTGGGCAAGACTCCTGGCAGGGGGAGCCAACGTGTGGTCTGGTGGGGTGGGCAAGACTCCATGGCAGGGGAGCCAAGCGTGGTCTGTTAGTGGACAAGACTCCATGGCAGGGGCAACGTGGTCTGGTGGGGGCAAGACTCCATGGCTGGGAGGCTGGTGGTGGACAAGACTCCATGGCGGGGAGACGTGGTCTGGTGGTGGACAAGGCTCCATGGCGGGGAGCCAGCGTGGTCTGGTGGTGGGCAAGACTCATGGCAGGAGCCGCGTGGTCTGGTGATGGACAGACTCCCTGGCGGGGAATAACGTGGTCTGGTGGTGGGCAAGACTATGGCAGGGAACGTGGTCTGGTGGTGGACAAGACTCATGGCGGGGAGCCAACGTGGTCTGGCAGTGGGCAAGACTCCATGGCAGGGAATAGCGTGGTCTGGTGGTGGGCAAGACTCCATGGCAGGGAGCCAACGTGGTCTGGTGGTGGACAAGACTCCATGGCGGGGAGCCAACGTGTGGTCTGGGTGGGCAAGACTCCATGGCGGGGAGCCAAGCGTGGTCTTGTTGTGGACAAGACTCCATGGGGGGAACCGCGTGGTCTGGTGGTGGGCAGACTCATGGGAACCGCGTGGATGGGTGGTGGACAAGACTCCATGGCAGGGAGCCAGCGTGGTCTGGTGGTGGGCAAGACCCAGCAGGGAGCCAGCGTGGTCTGGTGGTGGGCAAGACTCCGCAGGGAGCCAACGTGGTCTGGTGGTGGACAAGACTCCATGGCGGGGGAGCCAGCGTGTTGGTGGTGGGCTGGTGGTTGACAAGACTCCATGGCGGGAACAACGGTGGTCTGGTGGTGGGCAGACTCCATGGCAGGGAATAGCGTGTGGTCTGGTAGTGGGCAAGACTCCATGGCAGGGAGCCAGCGTGGACTGGTGGTGGACAAGACTCCATGGCGGGGAGCCAGCGTGTGGTCTGGTGGTGGGCAAGACTCCATGGCGGGGAGCCAGCGTGGTCTGGTGGTGGACAAGACTCCATGGCAGCGTGGCTGGTGGTGGACAGACTCCATGGCGGGGAGCCAGCGTGGTCTGGTGGTGGGCAAGACTCCATGGCAGGGGAGCGGCGTGGTCTGGTGGTGGACAAGACTCCATGGCGGGGAGCCAGCGTGGACTGGTAGTGGGCAAGACTCCAGGCAGGGGCCAGCGTGGACTAGTGGGCAAGACTCCTGGCAGGGAGCCAGCGTGGACTGGTGGTGGACAAGACTCCATGGCAGGGGATGGCGTGGTCTGGTGGTGGACAAGACTCCTGGCAGGAGAGCCAGCGTGGTCTGGTGGTGGACAAGACTCCTGGCAGGGGAAAGGTGGTCTGGTGGTGGGCAAGACTCCATGGCAGGGAGCCAACGTGGTCTGGTGGTGGACAAGACTCCATGGCAGGAGCCAACGTGGTCTGGCAGTGGGCTGGGCTCCTGGCGGGGAGTAGCATGGTCTGGTGGTGGGCAGGGCTCCTGGCAGGGAGCCAGCGTGGTCTGTGGTGGACAAGACTCCATGGCAGGGAGCCAACGTGGTGTGGCAGTGGGCAAGACTCCATGGCAGGGAGCCGCGTGGTCTGGTGGTGGGCAAGACTCCATGGCAGGGAGCCAGCGTGGACTGGTGGTGGGCAAGACTCCATGGCGGGGACCAGCGTGGTCGTGGTGGGCAGACTCATGGCAGGGAGCCAACGTGTGGTCTGGCGGTGGGCAAGACTCCATGGCAAGGCCAGCGTGGACTGGTGGTGGGCAAGACTCCATGGCAGAGGAGCCAGCGTGGACTGGTGGTGGGCAAGACTCCATGGCAGGAGCCAGCGTGGACTGGTGGTGGAGCAAGACTCCATGGCAGGGGCCAGCGTGGACTGGTGGTGGGCAAGATTCCATGGCAGGGGAGAGCGTGGACTGGTGGTGGGCAAGACTCCATGGCAGGGGAGCCAACGTGGTCTGGTGGTGGACAAGACTCCATGGCAGGGGAGCCAGCGTGGTCTGGTGGTGGGCCAAGACTCCATGGCAGGGGAGCCAGCGTGGACTGGTGGTGGGCAAGACTCCATGGCGGGGAGCCAGCGTGGTCTGGTGGTGGACAAGACTCCATGGCAGAGGGAGCCAACGTGGTCTGGCAGTGGGCAAGACTCCATGGCAGGGAGCCAACGTGTCAGTGGTGGGCAAGACTCCATGGCAGGGAATCCAGCGTGGTCTGGTGGTGGACAAGACTCCATGGCGGGGAGCCAGCGTGGTCTGGTGGTGGACAAGACTCCATGGCAGGGGAGCCAACGTGGTCTGGTGGTGGACAAGACTCCATGGCGGGGAGCAGCGTCGGCGTGGTCTGGTAGTGGGCAAGACTCCATGGCAGGAGCCAACGTGGTCTGGTGGTGGACAAGACTCCATGGCGGGGGAGCCAACGTGGTCTGGTGGTGGACAAGACTCCATGGCGAGGGAACCAGCGTGGTCTGGTAGTGGGCAAGACTCCATGGCAGGGAATCAACGTGGTCTGGTGGTGGACAAGACTCCATGGCGGGGAGCCAGCGTGGTCTGGTAGTGGGCAAGACTCCATGGCAGGAGCCAACGTGGTCTGGTGGTGGACAAGACTCCATGGCGGGGAGCCAGCGTGGTCTGGTGGTGGGCAAGACTCCATGGCAGGGAGCCAAGCGTGGTCTGGTGGTGGACAAGACTCCATGGCGGGGAGCCAGCGTGGTCTGGTGGTGGACAAGACTCCATGGCAGGGAGCCAACGTGGTCTGGTGGTGGACAAGACTCCATGGCGGGGAGCCAGCGTGGTCTGAGTGGTGGGCAAGACTCCATGGCAGGAGCCAACGTGGTCTGGTGGTGGACAAGACTCCCATGGCAGGGAGCCAACGTGGTCTGGTGGTGGACAAGACTCCATGGCAGGAGCCAACGTGGTCTGGTGGTGGACAAGACTCCATGGCAGGGGAGCAACGTGGTCTGGTGGTGGGCAAGACTCCATGGCAGGGGAACAACGGTCTGGTGGTGGACAAGACTCCATGGCAGGGAGCCAACGTGGTCTGGTGGTGGACAAGACTCCATGGCAGGAGCCAACGTGGTCTGGTGGTGGACAAGACTCCATGGCAGGGAGCCAACGTGGTCTGGTGGTGGACAAGACTCCATGGCAGGGGCGGCATGGTCTGGTGGTGGGCAAGACTCCATGAGGGAGCCAACGTGGTCTGGTGGTGGACAAGACTCCATGGCGGGGAATAGCGTGGTCTGGTGGTGGGCAAGACTCCATGGCAGGAAGCCAGCGTGGTCTGGTAGTGGGCAAGACTCCATGGCAGGGGAGCCAGCGTGGTCTGGTAGTGGGCAAGACTCCATGGCAGGGAGCCAGGGCGTGGTCTGGTAGTGGGCAAGGAACTTTATGGCGAGGAGCCAGTATGGTGTGCGGTTATGGACTATGATAAGAGGACGGTTTCATGATTTTTCATTGCATTATTTATCTAGATGTGTATCGTCAAAATTATAAACTTAATAGACTCCCACTCTCATAGTACTTGCAAGTTCTCTGAGACTTGTAAAAGTTTACACTTATTCTCACTCACTCACTAACTAAGGCCGGTTGAAGAGATAGGTTTTCATAGATTGTTGTATAAAGTCATTAGTGTTATGATAAGCTCCGGTGTTCTTTTACCATCAGTCAAGTTTGATGTGTGACGATTGAAGTTCTCATTACTGATTGGCTGGCGTTCTTCTCCTTGCACCAAATAACTTTAATTTCACTGCTGCAGGTCGCTACCATTTTTCTCTTAACAATACTCTGACAGATAAGTGATTTTTACGATGGAATGACTGGCAAATGTCATATCAACTATGTGACATCCAGTGTCTTCCTCGACGACCTCCTGAGAATTGATGTCGTGTATAAGGAAACAAACTTTGCAGCATACATGCTTGGGTGTCGCATTCTCGTCTCCTAACACACTGGTACAGAAGCCGCTTCACCGGCGACCTGAACAACAACAACACAGTACAACAACATGAACAAAGACAACACACAAAGTACAACAACATGAAGAACAACAACATCAACAACAACACACAAAGTACAACAACATGAACAACAACAATACACAAGTCCATCAACATGAACAAGTACAACAACACAAAGATTATTACCTCCACAAGTAGCGGGGGAGGGAGAGGAGGGAGGGAAGAATTAACAGATAATAGGCTCATGTAAACAATCTTTATAACACAAGCGACAAATTTGTCCTCCTCCTCCCGGGTGAGGGTGAGGGAAACATTGTAATGATGTGAACATGATCAGTGAGGCGTGAAGGTTGATGTAGACCCGAACAATGTACAGCTGTGTTGACTACTTGCCTTACTGCCTTTATTTAATGCTTTATTTATCAGGCTCTGTCTAGCACAACCATTGTTGAAGCTTCACTACATTTTCTCTTGGTTACATTTAAAAAGAATTTTACACAGTATTACAGGATAAATCCTTACAGGAGCGTTACTGCAGCAGTGTCTCTATTGTACTGTATGTGTGTGAAGGATATATTATATAACCTTCAGGTTATAAGGATTTATTGAGAGTCTTAGCTGGAAGCTGAAAATATGGAAATGGAATGAAATTAAGAATAAAGGAGATAATGAATTGTAGACTAAAATTAGTATATGAGGAGACTATTTTGATCAACAACTAGTTAAGTGTACCAGAGGGAGTTACCTGGTCTGGACATAGTGGACAGAATAGTGTAAAGTAAATTGAAACCATGATAAGAAGGGAGGAGGTAAGACTGACCGAAAACAAGTTCAGTAATGTCAGGACTCGAAAAATTGATGAAATTACAGTTGAAATGTATTTGAAAGAGAGGAGGAAGAGTGATAAAATGGCCTAAAAGATTGTACTGTACATGCTAGGATGAAAGAAGGATATTAAGGAACTGGAACAGGTTGATAAAATGTTAATATCATTAAGTATTTAGTTTGTTGAGCATATCAGAGAGAGCGTGTTTGGTTTAACATTAAATTAATAAGATTGGTTTCTATAAACATAAGATACATTAGGAACATTACTAAATCACATTAATAATACAATATTTCTCAATCATAATCAAACACCGAGTCTCTGCTCCCTCGAACTTAATAATTTGGTTGTAATCTTCACTTAAGAGATTCATTTTTTAGCATTGTACTTATGGAACTTATAATTATGCAATACATCATAATAAATGTATACAGTGAGAGCCAACTGACGTCCTCACCCTGGAAGAGCATATACTGTACACTACTACCGTCATAGCGTATGATAGAAAAAGTGATCATGTGACAAGTGGTAAAAATTCAGTGTTGAATGAAATAATTGACTTCTGTTCAAATTTATGTAGATGTGTTATAGATTTGGTCGGGAAGGATATTGACTCTAATATATACTATATGAAGAATGAAATATTCTCATATTGTTGATATATAAAATGATAAATAAGAATGAAGTAAACCACAGCAGCGGAGGTAAAATTAACCTATTTAAAAATGTATAGAAAGGGAGAATCTGTCAAGGGATCTAGGGTGTGATGTATAGTGTGATTTGGAGTTGTTATTTACTTTGGCTGTGAAATATAGACACGAGATGCAAGAGAAATAAGGAAACAACAAATAAAGAAATAATATGTGAAAAGTGAACATGTTGGTCTGAGTTTGTCTCTGGGGTTTAAGGACATGTTGATGGATTGGGATGTAAGATTGGTTAGGGTAAATAAACCAGAGATAAATGGTAGAAGGGAGCAAGAGGAAGAAAAAATGAGATGAAAGGATGAGATGAAAGACCCACTGTAAGTGGGGGGATGAGGCAGCAGTGTGTGTGTGTGTGTGTGTGTGTGTGTGTGTGTGTGAATAAGTGGTAGCTGATGATGTTTTGGGAGAAGGATGCAACGAATAATGTGCGTCATTGGTCTGTAAAATTGTTCAACAAAGGAGTATCATGGTTCAATAAAATCTTGAGAATAGAATAGAACATATATAACGACTAATGTATGAGGACTGTTCTCTTGACTTCACATTAAGCAGGAAAAGAGCTGACATGAACAACATCTAACACCTCTATCTTGCAGGATGGGACCTCAGCAGCCTAGATGTCTGCCACACTGGTATAGAATCATTAATAATTTATTTATACCTTCATACCTTACAACACTATACTCAGACACTGCACAACACTACACCACCTCGCATTGCCGCAACATAGCCAGTCCACATTACTATAACACTATACCCAACATCATTACATATACTACCTTACAACACTATATAGCCAGTCCACATACCATAACTACTTTGTAACATTACCCATGCGTGCACAACACTGTACCCATTACATTACTAACACTATACCTTTGCATTTATATACTATACTATTTAGGGTTTTGTGAATGTTAACATTTTGAGTTTGTTGAAGATTCTGTCAAATTGATTGCTTTCACTTTCTGAATGTTGAACAAGATTATGGATGTTGATGGCAAAGATGTCTATTTACAAGTTAGTATCTACACTATTATAAATGCTTTTGAATATTTTACAACACAAACATATAGTGGTATGGACTGCTGGTCGGAACAAATGTCAGGGGTGTGACTGACTAGATTATAGCGTGGGGTCTTGTTTATCCAACACGGCACCAGGTGGTATATAGGTCTCTTCTCCAACAACTTCACATGAGAACAAGTATCCTCCTAGCAGTACAGGAGGTGGCACAGAGAGCTAGGGCTGACAGTGTCTAGCTGGCGTGATGACATACAAACATGGGTGCAGCAGATCACACCAATATGACCAGAACAAGCTGCAACAATAATTATGGCACAGAATATTGTCTCACTAATTTAGTAGTAAAAATTTATACACACCAAGTTTATTTGCATACAAAGTAATCAACAAACAGACTACACAAGGGCACCGTTAAAACTCAAATGAAACCATAGGAACAACTGACCACAAACGATAATGAATAGATGATCCCCCACCAATTGTTTCGGTGCTATCGTTCTGCCCAAATTATGAAATAGATATACTAGACTCTGTTTCCTCAATATGTCCTCTAATCACACATCCTTAACACAGCTAAACTGCCTCCCGAAAGTTAGCCAGATGCTGTACAGATACTTAGTAATACTTCACTCCTGAGCAGTTTAGCTTCAAGCATATACTGTAAGGATTCATTCGTCTAACCCCGGAGTACTGCTCTCATATCTGGGTGGCTCTTCTTCTGTCAACTGTTAGATTGGGTGGAATCCAGGCATTTCGTCTTATTAACTCTCCTCCTTTAGTCGACAATCTTTCTTCTTCCTTTTCTCTTCATACAATGTTGCTTCCTCTTTCTCTTTACACATGTGTATGCTTTAGCGAACTGATGTTCGGTGGATTTGGCATCCTATTACTGCCGGCAAGGCCGTAGGCTCCCGTAACACTCGTCTTTACTTGCCCAGTTGCCCACCGTTTCTCTGTGGTGTCGGTCACTAGAATAACCCATTAGAGTACAGTACATCCTTCTTTCCTCACACTGTTAGATGCTCGCCTGCCTTCTTCTGTGTTTCCATACTTACTAACCTGTCTCACTTTACAAGGCTAGTTTTCAGGCATCTTCGTGAACATGAATTAACCTAATATAACTTATTTTCTCTATTTTAATTTCTTTCTGTTTACCACCGCCCTCCCCAAGGCCCCCGTTGTGGGTCATTTGACCTACCAATGCCCAGGTGGGCCCGAATTCCACTCAAAAAATAAAAGCTGCACTTGATGGTGTTGAATTTCATTTGCCATTTTTCAAACCACCCCTGCAGTTTATTTAGATCCTCCTGGTGCATTTGCATCGCCTGAATTAATCTGCCGCCCTATTTTGGTGTCATCCATAAACTTGCATATGTCACTAGTCCAATCCTAGATCGTTTATGTAGATTATGAAGAATGGGCCCAATGCACTGACCCCTGGGGAACCCCACTGAGATTTACATATTTACTCAGTTAACACCATCTACGCTGACCCTCTGCGTTCTATCAGTGAGCCACGATTTTATCAATTAAAACACCCCTCCGATACACTGAGCCTTAACTTTCTCAAAACCTCTGATGCGGTACTCTGTCAGTGCTTTGCTAAAGTCTAAGTAAATAACATCGTAATTTTTAATCATTATCCTACTACCTCGAAGACTTTCCTAAAAAACGTCATCAGATTTATTTAGACAAAGATTTTCCTTTAAATCCATGTTGAGAAGTCGTAAGATTAATTTGTTTTCTCTAAATGCGATCGGATACTATTTGCTATAATTGAATCCAAGAAATTTTCGCCACTACTGAAGTCAAACTAATCGGCCAGCAGTTGCCCTTTGATGCTCTGTCTCTTTTTGAATGTGGTGCTATATTTTGCCTGTTTCTAAGTCTGTCAATTTCCGTGTCTAATGACTCTGTAAATGAATTTACGGTGAGGTCCGCTAATCTGTTCATACGCGTTTTTAAAACTCAGGAAAATTTCATCCGGCCCTGGGTTTGTCTTCTTTAATTTATTTATCTTCTTGGGGACATCTCTTTTCTGATATTGATATTCTTTAATTTCTTCTTCATTTTCCCTGAAATATCAGTTTTTTGGCATTTCTTTGTGAATTTCTTCTGTGAAAATTGATAAGAAGTTGCTGTTTAATCTTTTCTTATTTTCTCACTATCATCAATCACTATCCTCTCCTGACTTTAAATGCCTTACTTTGTCCTTGTCCTATACCTGGAAAAATCATTGGGATTTTGGATTCTCTTGCTATCCTGATTTTGTAGTCCTCTTTACTTTTACTTTTTTCTTAACATTCCTGGATGGTTTATTATACCTATTTCTGAGCTGCTCCTCCTCAATCTCTTATTAATTCCTTTCTTTTTCCATATGTCATATGTTTGAATTTTTTGGTCATCACCTTAGCTCATTCTTATTTCTTAATTTTTCTGTGTGATATATTTTATTATGTTATGTCTTTATTAGTATAAGTGAATATATATAGTCTTGATCAATTGTTGTGTCTTGGTGATTTCTTTAGTCTACAGAGTTGTTACCTTTCTTTTAGGTGGCCTCACTAAGGGTGCCTAAGCCCTCATAATCCGGTGATCGAAGTCTGGGGACTCTGACCATGTTGCCAATGTTTTTTTGTTTTGTATAGGTGAACCTGATTTCTCTGTGATCCTGTTCCCTATTGTGATATCTCTGATAATATTTTCTATTTGTTAATACCAGGTCTGTATGTTGTTTGCCTCTGGTGGGTTCTGTATATTAGTTGTTTTAAAAATTGTCCTGTACTGCATCTAAAGTCTTCAGATTCATTAGTCACCATGTTTGGCAGTTAATGTTTTGAAGTTGAAATCCCCCATAATGCTGTGGTTGTTTGTATTTTGCTGCCCTACTCATTTCCTGCCATATGGGTGGGCTGCTTCTTTCTCCAAGACTTGGGGGCCTGTAAATCCTCCCTTAATTAGTTTTCTTTCCTTCCGCAATTTCTGCCCTTCAGACTCGGTTCCTATTTCACTTTGTTGATTATTAATAAACATTTTAATGTATCTCTGATGAAGGTTAGGCCTCCCCCTTTACCTTCTGTCCTTGTGAAAAGGTTGTTGCTTCTATGTGGTCTTTGTTAAAGTTCTTGCTCGCCAGATTCGTAAGTTTCGGTGATTGCTATGGGCGTCTACATTATAATTGTCGCCGCTCTCAGCAAGTCTATTTTATTTCCTTGCTCCCTATGGTTTGTATAGTGTACATTTAAACTACCATTCCCTAGTCTGTTTACCTTGGCCTGGTAACCAATTTGCTCCCAAGTTTCTTGTTTTGACTCCACACTGAAACCTCTCTACAACCCCTTGCCCCAGGTAACAATTCACGCCCCAGGGGGATACGAACAACGCCTTTACCCCGCGCAGAGACAAGTACTTTTCCATCCCATTGCACAGGTCGTCGTTGCCATAGAATGGTTGCCAGTTATCAATAGGCAACAGCCATTGCTTGCACAATGTTTTCAGTCGGCAGTTTATAGCAGTGCCTGGACAGCCATTCACGACCAACCCCTCTTCTAGGCAAGACACCACATTTTTATCAGGATCCTCCTATCCTAACCTTCCCCAGCGCCTCCCTCTGCTGTCTTGAAGTATTCTCCTCCTAACCTTTCCCTATGTCATTACCTCCTACACTCAGACACACTACTGGGTTGGTACCCTCCTGACAAAACCCTGGCCTCTCGGCTGCATGCCCTATCAGCCCAGAAAACACTACCCTAGTCCTACATTTTTCCCTATCTCTTGCACAGAAGTCCCTATCTAAGAACATCCTACCTGTGTCCCCCTTCTCGGCATACCACTGGGCAGGGCAGACAACTGCCCTTTTCTCTCCTGCCACCACACCGTCCTGACTCTTCTCTTCCTCGCCAGCTTCCTCCAACACTTGGTAGGTTGCCTCCTCCACACCCTGGTAAGTTTTCCTGGGTCTGACCCTAGTCCCCTTGGAGACAAGCCACTCTCCACCCCTGCTCCTCTTGTTCCTCCTTCGCAGGTGTCCTGCTGGGCAGGACACCTACCTGAAGGAGTTCAGTCCTGAGGCTTCGTTCTCCCCTTTAAAACGTCTATCTCTCTCCTCAACTGCTCAGCCCCGGCTTAACAGAGTGTGTGGGGTCGTCTTTCCTCACACACCATCCCTCTTCCCCCTAGCACAACGATCCACAGTGTGCATTTCCTATATAGTCATTAACACGAGCACTTAGGGGGCCGTCCTTCTCCCAAGCTAGGTCAGGTCATTTTAGCCAGTGTCATGCTGTATGTATTCTTGATTGTAATACATGCTTCTAG